GGGGGGGGGGGGGAGCGCGGTAAACAAAAACATCCAGCCAATTTTGCTGGAGGCCGCCAGCGCGGCATGAGGAACGATCAAAAAATCAGACTCGCAATCAAAATCCGCGCTGTTTATTGACAGAACCTGGCTGTGTCGTTTATTGGCAATGTCCGACGACGCGCGTATCATATCCGTGCACGGTGCACGGCGTTGCCTTTCCATCTTGAAAATTGAGCAGTGGCATCAAAGGGAAAAGGATCCGACAGAGTGGTTTCGCCTTTCTGCACCGTTTCCCGTTTCCTCGTTTTGTCCGGCGATTCGTACTTCACCCAGCGGAGATTCTCGTCGCTGCCGAGTAATGGGGAAACGTGATGCGCGTGCGGCCGTATATCGCGCGGCTCTTGTCGTTAATAATTCACCTGGACCGACGAAAGAGAGAAAGGGAAGAAAAACAGCGCTTCACTCACCGTGATGATGGAGGGTCGCGGCGCGCCGGTGAAGTGCTCGATGACCTCCCAGTTGGACTTCTTGATGGGGGTATGCGGCGTTTTCGGCGTGTTGGGGGTGTGCGGTTGCGAAGACGGCGTGGTGGACTTGGAGCCCGGCGTATCGAACAGCAACTCGACACGCGGCTTGCCGCCGTCATTGCTGCTCACGTGTTGCCTGAGACTGGCCCATCTCCTGGTGCCCCTCGCTCCTGGGACTCCGGTGATCGTCCTGGGTCCGATTTCACCCTGGCGAAACAAAGAGGTACGGTTCGCGTTACGCGACTGGCAAAATGCGTCTCCAACTCGACGTTGATTAAACCGATCCTCTTAGCGAAATACACACTCTTGTAATCAGATCGTGTCTCTTTTATCGGAAGCTGATAGATGGGAACGAGAGTGAGAGAGATGGGTAGAGAAAGAGAAAGAAAGGGGGCGAGATAGTTCTAAAGTTGCTTCAGGCGATAAGAACGAGTGCTTTTAGTGGTCTGAAACGACGACGCGATGTGTACGCTTGTATGATACAAGATCTTAATTACACATATCTCACACGCAGATATACAGCACGTATCTATACATGGAAAAAAAAGATTTGGTAATATATGGACAACTAAAAATATTAACAGGAGGAGCAAATTTTCTTGCTTTCATAGTAAAAGTTATCTTAATATATGTATTAGCCATTCTTTTAGCTATCACAACTAAATAACTTTTACTATGAAAGCAAGAAAATTTGCTCCTGCAGTTAATATTTTTAGTTATCGATATATTAGCAAATCTTTTTTTTCCGTGTAAACGTAAGTATAGATGGCAGTATCTTCGATCTATGACTATGATTTTTGTAATAAGTAATGCGCAAAATAACCGCTCGAGGTAAAGAACTTTCATAATATGCAGCTTGTTTAAAATATACCCGATATCGCTGAATTATCAAAATTAGCGCGCGAACACTCCTGTCCCACTTTGCGCAAATTTTTATCTCGTAAAAGTTTTATGAAATGTAAAGGAAATATAATAATATTATAAATTTTTAGTTAAATATGGCTCAAATAGTATCCGACAAAATTAATCTAATATATTTAGGCTAATAGAGAAGCCAGGCGTCCTAAAATTCAATTTGCGTGATTACATTAAATTTTTTATTTCGGAGGGATAATAATGTCTTACGATGTATTGAAGTGGCGCGTGCGATACATTGTGGAACATTATTATCCTCCCAAAATGAAAAATTAATCACGCAAATACAGTCCTGAGACTGGCTCCTATTGATCTAAATATTATATTAGCGGCCCATTCGATCTACCACTGCGAGTATTATCTCTCCATTTCGCCGGGGTTGAGATATTTTGATCGTCGGGTTCAAAAGAGTGTTATGTCACAGAGACCTTGTTATTTACGTTGCCTTGGGCGACGAAAGTATATCTACTTGGTTTGTCTCAAAGTAAAGACAACCAGAGCAGAGAACGAGTCACGTCAAAAGAAAGTTGACACCCGTTACGTAAATTTTCGCAAGTTCGCGAGGAAATTGCGACACGCGAAGAGCAGAACACGAAGTCGCGTTTCTGCTGCAATATACAATGTTGTGCACAAGCTACACCTGTCGCGTCAGAATTCCGTCAAAATAGACTTGTTTCTCTGATCTTGAGCGTTTACGTGACGTTCTCTTCTCCCTCTCCTCCCCCCTCTCTCTCTCTCTCTCTCTCTTATATCTGTTGTTTGCGTGTAACACAAAGTGAAGGCGAAGAAGGTGTTATTCTGTTTTCTGATATATCACGTCGCGCATCGTTTCGATCGTAATGTCGCAAACATATTTTCGCTCGATATTAAAAATCTATACAATAAAAAGTAGCAGAGCCAATGAAGGTCCGTACGTAAAAACTAGAAATTCCCGACGTGGACTGTAATGCTGATCTCCGTGGTTTGTTCCAACCTCAATCAAAGTTTGCGCTAGTAAAGTCACCGTAAATAAATGCTTTAGTTCGTTTGGTTAACTTCCTATTGGCCACATGATTCATTTACTTCACGTGGATTACGTTTTATTAAAACCAAATTTTATTAAATTAACTAAAACCAAATTTATGAGATTTAATAATGTTATAGGTATGTGTACGCGTGTGATATCAAAGTAAATAGGGAAGACCGGGACTAGATGCTCCATATTTTAGAATTTCGAAATTACAACTTCTTAGACAATTAATTGTTGCGATTGACCGTATAAACATGATAGAGGCAACCTTTCTTTATTAAGCCCGCCGTGACTCTGTCAACCATATATTTTGTCTTGTAATAGTCAAAATACGAATATACAGTAACATAGCCATCTTGCCTTAGTACTGGATTCAGTTACCCAGTAATGTAGAGTAAAGAAGGCCCGTATAAAATATGCATCCTGATTAATAATTCCAGAGTCTCCGCGAAAGTTCTCCACAGCCCTCCTGCCGGTCCTTAATTATGGGCAAACTTTACCTTATCCGCCCATAGACTCCATTTCAATCATTTTATGAATGAAAATTGCATTTATTAGCAGAAACAGTATATCATACACTTGCAAAAAATTTTATTCTAGCTAGTAACATATCGCTTAATTTTATTCAGTCACGATGAAAATTAATAAAATTTCGAAAGGCTCGAAAATTTACTCTGCTATTACCAAATCAGTTTTTTTCGTTTCTTAACTGTAATATTCCGACTTTAATGAAATGATTTTAGGGAAAAGTATTGATGTTCTGCAGGAAATATTTCACGATTTTGTACCCATTATTCCTCTTAAGATAAATACTAAAAAAAGGCACACGAACAAAACATACCTCTGGGACTATGTAGCCATGGTCTCCTCTATTTCAAAATCAGGATACTAAGGAAGCGAGTCGGTATTCCAACCGACAGTTTCGACTCGAGCGACTCGGAGCGTCGTGCAAATCCGCCGTCATGTCGGCTGTCGCGGATTTCACGGCGTAGTCACTCACATGCGCGATCGCGCCGCCTTGGCGTTCTCGAGAACTCGGACACGAGTCGTCGTCGTCGTCGTCGCGAAACCAGAGCTGGCAACGGCAATCGCGCAGTTTTCGCGAACGGAGCTTTTTCAAGGATCGACGCGCGGCGACCCTCCCAAACAAAACGAATGGACGGACGGCGGATTGAAATCATAGCCCGTAAACAACCCGGCGTTGCTTCCATTTTCCGTGTTTTCTATACCTCCGCGATTCTCTACGCCGTCTCTTCAATGCACCCTTTCGATGCCGCGTTCGGCGCAGCGGTGCATACGCGCATACGGCCGGAACAACGAATGCACGAGTCCTCGTATGCAAGCGTGCAAGCTACTCGTATGAATACGGCGCTCGCACACATGCAGAAGCCGTCTTATCGCGATCCGCAAACAAAACAGGTCGGAATCGCGCTAAATTATTCAGAGCTGATTTAATTGCACCGCCGTCGCGAGAGGGTTGACTGTATACTCCGGATTAATTAGCATTCCGCGTGCTAAGTATTAAATTAGAACGATCTTCGGGGACGTCTCTTTCCGCTAAGAGATGAAATAAATCAAAATTTAAGAACAAACGTAATTATCATCGTAGCGAAGCAGTTTAAAGTGAACAAAGATGAAATTTTGTCACCTTTTTATTTCACTTCATGTCATCGTATGAAACTTTGTTTCATCTCACGCTGAAAACAAAATGTTTGGCATTTGTAACTGTAATCATATAAGGACTTCACAATTGTTGAAACCGAGCCGTGTAGAAACTTTTGTGTTAAATTTCTGACCGTGTGTTAATTTAACATATGTTATTTCGATTATTCCGCGTGCTGAGTTCGTATCCATCATTTCTAAGCGTTAAAATAACAATTGCTCAACAAACAAAGTAGTCCACTCTTGTATTAATTTTAAACATATTATTGTGTTATTGACACATTTGCCTTGTGTTAAATTAAAAATTGGAATGGATAGTTTGGGACACATGAAATGTGCCGACTGCTTTTCCTTCTCAATGTATTGCATTTTCGTACTGAAGTAGCCAAAAAATATGGGGCCAAAAGTAACTACAACTTTTTCGTTAGATTAATTATTTTTCCTCTCTCTCAGTACACCCTTTTGGACACGAGACGCGAAGCAACGCGACGGACGATCTGATCGAATATTTCTAATAGAAGCACACGGTTCGACATTTTTCTCGCGACGCGAGAGCTCTCTCACGCTTCGTGACGCGTGCGTTTTTGATGCACATTACTAAAATTGCTCTGTTACAACTGACGGTATTCTCAGAAGAAACAGAGTCCGTGCGCCCGATATTATTCCGCTTTCGTGGGGCGGGCAACTTTCGTGTCAGTGTTGTCGCTGACATGCATCACTTGAGTGCTGCCGGCAACCGCGCAAAGTATCATTCTGACGTATACATTTCCGCCCCCTCCCCACACACGCACACAGACACACATTTCTCGCTAATAAATACGTTTGAAAAAGAACGCGAGATTCGTCTCGTGTCCACTCATCCGATGTCCATTTCCGTTTCTTTATTCGTGCGTTCGGCGAATCCGATATGCATGTTTCCAATTTATATGTCGTCCTCGTTGAAAACGCGAACAAATAAGGGCGTGCATCGCACGTTCACTGCACACGTGTTTAATGAAAAGGAAAAAAATAGCGCCGTATATACGTACCCCGTTCCCGTTACTCGTGAAATTTTGTTCGTTCCTAGTAATCGCGTCGAGGGCACTCCTTTTGTTTTGTTGTTTTTTCCTCGTTTTTATTATTTTATTTTGTTTCATTTTTCCACGCGCGCGTCACACTCGGTTGATTAAGCGAAAACATGAGCTGGCGCAATTTCCTTCAGCGCATCGACATAACCATCGATCGATCGTCCCAGATTACGCGCAACGACTGCGTCCATTTCGCGCATTCTCTGCTATCGATATAGCTGAATCGCGCGACAAAGACAGAATTAATTTCTGTTTATTGAAAAGATTATATCCCGACCGATGGGCGTGATATTAATCATACGATAAGCTATACACAGCGAGGTGGACAAAATGATACAAACATTTGAGAGATATGCATATGTATTGCTTTATCAAGCTGGTTCTGCGAAGTCCTCAGGAGATTGTTTTTGTA